CATGAAAAATCACCGATCGTGACATCATTGCCAAATACAATACATCATCCAGAACGCCTGAAAGACCAATTTTTTAAAAATTGGCTCCCAAATCATCGACGACAACATCACCGATCAAGACATAGACCCATCTGCTGTTGTCGAGAAAAAGTATCCGAGATTCGAAATGAAGACACCCAAAGCAAGCCTCCTTGCCGTCTTGGCTGTTGTGCCATCAGTAACCACTGCTTTTCAGCAACCTGTCGCTCATCGCTACAATGCTGTGGTACGTAAAGCGAAGTTTTGCAGCTGGGGGAGCAGTAAGCAATTATTGATTTTTCCAGCTAGCGGACACGGCATGGCATCAGACATGATCTCGATAAGGAACTCGATTTTGATATAAGATTACACACCAAGTGTCGGATCTATATTTTGAACGCAGGACGAAAGAGGCTCATGGGTGCATTCCCGACCATTGCGTTGCTTGAATGTGATGTTAGTTTAACAAGAACGAATGCGTGATTCCAACCACTTCGTTTCCCCTTTTTTCTTTTTCCCTTCATTCATGTCCAGAAGGTAGCACCATTCACGAAGAGTGCCGTGTCGAGCATCTCTTCCCCTATGCGGCCTTCTTCAACTAGCCTTGTCATGGCGGTAAGTTACTTTTTCTGATCCAAGAAAAGATGACGTGTACTCCATCGATATCAGTCGAAATGTAGAAGCTATGAAAATGATGCATCATGAATTTCGGATCAATCTCTGCAATTTTTTGTTCGTTCTTGASAATTCTATCGATAAGTTGTCCGTCGCAGTCCTTTCTTTGCTAATACATTATCACTATTGTTATTTGTTGACAGGTCGAGGCAGCTAGTGAAGATGCCGGTGCTGGCGGAGAAAAGAGTTTGGGGAAAAAGATTTTTGATACCTATGTTCGGGTTGCTGATGTTGCCACCACTCTGTTTCCTCTCTGGACTGTTCTTTTCTCTGTTGCCGCCATTAAGACGCCCCAATCATTCGCTTGGTTCACGACCGAATATTTTACTGCTGCATTAGCCGCTCTGATGCTTTCAATGGGTATCACCTTGACCCCTCAAGACTTTCTTGATGTCATGAAGGAACCAATTTCCGTCGCGATGCAGTTTTCTCTGTGCTATGCAATGATGCCAGCTCTAGCTTTGGGATTGGGAAAAGCTTTCGCATTGGACCCTGCCATGTTAGCGGGTATGGTTTTGGTCGGTAGTATCAACGGAGGGCAAGCTTCAAATCTCTGCACATACATTGCTCGTGGTAATGTTGCTCTCTCTGTCCTCATGACAACCGCCACAACCTTGGGTGCCATTTTCATGACTCCTCTCATTTGCAAGGCTGTTCTGGGTACCGTCGTCCCTGTCGATGCAGTTGGAATCGCAATGTCTACTATCCAGGTTGTTTTGGCACCCATTGCCATTGGTATGACCACCAACAAATTCTTCCCTAATTTCGTGAAGMAAATCTTGCCGATCACCCCTGTCGTTGGAGTTTTGTCAACGTGTCTATTGGTGGCTAGTGCAGTCGCTCAAGTCTCGGAACCTATTATGAATGCTGGATTGCAATTGCAGGTAAGTGGCTAATGTCTCGCTGTTCTGACATTTCTATTTAATAGTATCGCGTCTTAACTTTAATTTTTGCATCTTTCTCTGCAGACGCCTGTCTTTCTCTTGCACTTGTTAGGTGGACTTGTTGGGTACTTCTTGCCGAAACTAACTGGATTCTCTGAGGTCAAATCCCGTACCATGGCCATCGAAACTTCAATGAAGTCTTCTGCCTTCGGGTTTTTGTTGGCGAAACTTCACTTCGGTCAATACGCAGCTCGTGTGCCCAGTGCCGTCAGTGTCGTATGGATGGCCTTGACAGGTAGTTTGCTTGCTGTCGTTTGGAGATACATTCCTGTCGGCGATGAGGAATAAATCTGCAAGCAACGCAATTAGCGGTTTCAACCTGCCCGGGAGCAATTTACCATCAGTTTTTGAATTCTTAAAATAGATTAATCTTGGTTATTGTAGTTGTTGTCGTCGTCATTAATGTAATCATTTTGCACAATGATGTTGTCCTGGGACCTGATTCTGTCCGTGAACTTCTATAGTTCGTTTTTCCCTCTGGCGAATGAGTCTGTTTCTGATAAATACTGAAGAGGGGAGTACGGGGTTCGTAAAACAAGGACTTGGCAGACCAGACCTGGACACACGCAACGCTTCCGTAGCTATTACGTGAAAGAATGACCACACACCTACCCAAATAGAAACGGTCAATGCCCACTCTTCTTAAATTAATAAACAGTGTGCAAAGCACCCTACACCCACCAGCAAGATATCAAAATGAAGGCACCAGCAGTCATTCTCCTACTGGTACTACTAGTAGCCTAGCAGCAGTACTACTAGTACTAGTAGTATTGTTAGTAAGAGTTCTCAAATCTATTAGTAAGTGTACTAGTAAAAAAGGAAGTTCTACCATGTACTACTAGTACTAGTAGTGCTTAACAACAACAACAACAACAACAACAACAACAACAACAACAACAACAACAACAACAACAACAGAACTAGAAGAGGCATTATGTGGGCCAGAGCCATAACTTGTGTGGAGAAGAATGCTCCTAGTAGCTGCTCCAAGAGGCAGTGCCTCCCTTGGAGGAGTGGTTGTGGTGGCGCAACCACGGGGACTAGGGGGCTGGGTAGGTGGTTAGGTTAACAATTGTGTTGTAGTTGACTGGATGGTTCAGTTTGTAACAACACCAGAGGCCAAAGGAATCTCTGGTAAACCAGGTATTTTGTGTCCTTACTTCTTGGAGTAAGTGTCAAAGGCCAGGCCATCTTCTTGTGTGGCACTCTTCCATGGTTGTTTACCATGAGGTGAGGTTAAAAAATACTGGGTTATAGGACATGCATTGGAGGCACAGCAGGTGGCAAGAGTTGTGCAGATGCTTGCATGAATGGTTTTCTTGTATACTTGGAGGTAGTACGCAAGGAATGAATTTGATGCTTCAGAAATGAATGTTTCAGGATCATTTGGGAATAAAAGAGCATGAGAGGGACACTTCTGTGGTTTCAGGGCCAAGAGATTGTGGACTTTCTTTATTAACCATTGTCGTTTCAATACTTGTTTCTGAGTGAGAGTGTGACCTTGAAGGTTTTTATTCTGCTGTTCCCACAACAAGATAAGAAGAAAGAAAGAATTTGACTAGGTAAACCCCAAAACAGTTGGGGAGTGCTGAGAGCTAGTAGAGTGAAGATCAGGGTCAGTGATCCACTGAAGTGAAAGGTGGCAACCAAACAAATGGTGGTGTCATCCAATCTTGCTCTGGAAATGAATAGCTGGGTGGATGGATCTAGAATATTTTTCTGGTGAAACAATTCCAGTTTCCAGCCATTCAGTAAGGGAGCTGGCAAGAGTGTTTGTGACAATTAATCTGAAGCCCAGGGTGCTGCTGGTGTTACTTTAATAGTACTAGCAGTACTACTACTACTACTAGTAGAACTAGTAGTATGCTCTGACTTACTTCTACTACTACTACTACTACTACTACTACTACTACTACTAGTAGTAGTAGTAGTAGTAGTAGTAGTAGTAGTAGTAGTAGTAGTAGTAGTAGTAGTAGTAGGAAGTGATGTTCATACAACTGATGCTGCTAACATGAGAGTGCCTCCTTAAAGCAAGCTACTAGTAGTACTAGTACTGTTTTTCATTTAATGTTATGGAGAAGCAAGGGGCAATCTTGACTTGTCATTTGACTAGTAGTACTGGAACAAGTACTAATTACAACAAGTATATTGTTGTTAACCACCACATGTCATTTTAAGGCAGCATTAGTGCAAGAATATTGTACAATCATGAATATTATATCAAGAAGTCATGCAATGTCATATCATATCATAATATCGTATCATAGTGGCATACATATTTGAACTACATAGTGCACATACAGTACATACATGGCACATATACATCCTCCATAGTAGTTAGGGTTGTCTGGCAATAAATAGATAGGCTCTGACATGAGCTGAGGGTGACCCCTGGTTAAAAAAATAATTATTTACTAGTACTCATAGTAGTAGAAGTCTACTGCAGAACCTGGTTGAAACTGATTTATTTTCAACCAGTAGTGAAATTTTCAACTGTTTACTAGTGGCATCGGTGAAGACCAAACCCTTTAGCTGTAGTCAAGCTTGTCTGCTTGTAAGTGATTTCACAATAGTATGGTTTTTACGGTACTACAGCACTAGTAGTAGTGAAATGTACTGGTGAACGATACTGTAAATAGTACAGACATACTGCATTCTGCCAAGGTACAAAATACTCACCATTCAAATCATATGGTAACAGTTATGCTCTCTTAGTATTAGAGCTACTACTAAAGACAAGCCCTGTTCTGGAAAGTTATTGGCAATTCTGAACCTCCTGGGCTGGCTGGCTTGCCTGTYGTGTGCAAGTACCCCTCTGTCCACTATAGTATCACAGTACAAATCCTGCTGACTGTACATTTGTGTACAGCAAACACAGCACTGGAGGAACTGCAACCAGTGGTGCACCTCTCCCAATTGTACACTCGTCCTATAAAAAGACACAAACTGCTCTAAAACAGAGTAAAATGCTGCATTCATACTCAAGTAAAAGCTGCAAAGTTTTCATTTGTACTCAAGGGACAGGCATGTGGATCTCCCTATACTCAAGGGACTGGTGTGCAGACAGTTTTCATATGCAGAGACTTGAGGGACTGGTGTGCAGGCAATTTGCATTTGCAGATACTCAAAGGACTGGCCTGAGGAGGTTTTCTATAATCAAGCAAAATGCTTGTTGATGGTCTGATACTCAAGGGGCCACTGTGCAGAGGCTTCCTATACCCAAGAGAACGGTTGTTATATTTGCAGAAACTCAAAAGACCAGTGTGTAGAGGCTTCCTATACTCAAGCAAAATCTCCCTTAATGCACTGATACTCAAGGGACCAGCATGTGGAGGCTTCCAATACTCAAGCAACTAGAGGGCAGAAAATTTGATACTCAAGCAAAATGCATGTTGACATGAAATTCAAGGCTGACTGGCATGCAGAGGCTTCCTGTACTCAAGCAAAGACCTGATCATTGATTTTCAAAGCTGTGATTGTTGCTACTTTTCTGAGCTGCAGTCCTGCATCAAGTTCTGACAGTCCTATTTTCTGAGCTGCAACTGTTGTCTACTGTTGCAGTTGATACTCAATAACCAACTTTTCATACTTGAAGTCAATCCATATCAAGCCATCACAAACCAATCTGGTGTCTGAAGGGTGTAGTGCCAAGCCAATATGTCTACTGACCAGCCAGCAATGGCAGGAGGAGAGCATCTTCATCATGGAGGTGATGATTTTCACCATAGAAGTGGGGTATGTCACCATAAGGGCAGCAATGGAAGTCAAAATCTACCTCATGAGGAGGTGCTTGATCTGCTGGATGACTTCATTAGACATGAGGAAATTGATGATGATCATTTTGTTCAAGAGATTGCTTCTTCATATGGGAGGTATTGTGTGAAGACAATTCCATGCACTATCCCAATTTGATCAGAGAATTCTTCTGCTACTCTACAAGGGAGATATAATCACAAAAGAGGAATCATTGGATTACTTGCATACAAAGAAGAGAGGGAAATGACAGCAATGCAGTGGGCTTGTTTATCATCATGGCTAAATGCCTAATGAATTTGCTAGCAGTACTACTAGTAGTGATGAAAGTGAAGTTGATTTCAACAAAGGTTGACCCACATGCTAAGAACTCCTTCTTGACCAACACCAATGGAGGTCGTATCCTAATCCACTACTATGATGAAACCAACTATATCATTGATCATTACAGGAAGGATTTTGAAAGACTTCTTCATACCCACAGCAGCTAGGTTCAAGTTGCTCCATTTGAATCAGGTCTCATGGTTTCTGTAGGCCAAAGATTTGACTATCCATCTTCCCGCCCAACAACATACTGAGGTATTCACCTGACCAAAACATTGGCTGATAGTTTGATGAAGTATCATTCCGTGAAGCTGAATGAAATCATGATGGACATTATTTACAAGATGAAGCCACTGCTCTAAGAGTTGAGGAGGCATCAGAAGTTCCATACAGGTGTCACTGTTAGTGCTAAAGCATCATCAGGAGAATCGAAGACACCAGTACTGCCATCACTTGCTATTGTAGATGATCTCACAAACAGCATACATGTTGCTGTGCAGGATGATACAAGGGAATTTGCTGTTTACTTCTCCAAGGGTCCAAAACAAGCTGGTCTGACCTGTTTTTTTGCCACACCATGAGCTTGCAATTCAATTAAACTGTGGGACTGTTCTGGAATCTAGTATCTTGCCTCATTGCAGTTGCAGTTTCTGCAAAGGGCTACTATATGGATCTGCCCCTAGATCCAACCAGCAGGTAAAAAAAAACAGAAGTTTATTACAGAATTTGCCTTCTCTACTGCCGGTTATAGCAAAGATACCCAACTTGGCCAAAAGGATCTAGTAAGAGCTACATTTGGTGAGGTTGAAAAGCTTGGAGTTAGCTGGAATTCAGGTGAAGATTGCTCAATTATAGCCAGGTTCAAGAAGAAACCTTACTGGCAGGCAAATGTGAAGGCAATTGATATGGAAAATAAGCAAGTGAGGGAATTATAGGATGGGAAGCTCAAGGCTCTGGAGGAGTATTGGGGGGGGGGGCACATTTCATGTGTGTCATTTTGAGTTCCTTACCTGTTGCGCCCTCACAACCACTCTATGGAGGAAGGCGCCCCACCTTGGAGCAGTTAGGAGCATCCTTCTTCCCAGAAGTTATGGTTCTGGCCCACATAGTGCATCCTCTAGTTCAARAGATAAAATATAATATCAAGAGTTCCTTAATTACATTGTCCTGAAAAACAAATGGAACTCAAAGAAAACCAAATCAAATTTGGTGAAGAGGCCCAAAAAATAACATCATTAGTACTAACAATAGTTCACATAATAGTAGTAGTAAAATTTCAAGTTACAGTAGCACTAATGGAAT